CTCCGGCTGCAATCCCGGCGCGGACTACAAGTACCACGAGCTCCCGTCTGAGTACTACAGGTCCCACAATACCTCACGCCGCCTGGTGTCTCCGCGTCGGTCCCGATTTAAATCCAGACAGTGAGGAAAATGGCGGTGTGGGGCTGAGTGTGGGGGAGATGGAGATGTAGCTGAGCTTTGGCTGATTTCCCAGGTGAGTGGGGTTCGGAGGGAGGGAGTGGAGAGAGGGGAGTTCTTGTTCGCGTTTCCCTGCTTCTAGTGCTGGAGTGGGACTGGGATGGCGGAGGGAGAGCTGCCCCTTGCCGGGTAAGGGAGAGGCTTGGTGGGTGGCCTTGAGGGGTGGCTCTTTTCTGTCTTTCGCCCCCCTACTCAATATGAACGTGCCTCCCTGATGGGAGGACGAGGGCGAGCGTAGATGGGTTGTGTGTGAGTAGTATTCCCAGGGCTGGAGATGAGGGGATTCCCCGGGCCATGTGTGGCTGCCTTGACCTCTTTCTAGCTATTGTAACTTTACCGGTGAGTGAGTTTTGAAGGAATATTCCTGGGGCAGTGGCGGGGGATTGATGCGTGGACTGAAGGCTTCCCGTGTCGCTGTGTGATGCATATCTAAGTGTGGTGATTTTGGGTGGAGGTTCCTCGGGGAATACAAAGAGACCTGAGGTCGCTGCGGACCTGGCTTTAGAATCGTCTGACCCACGATTTCTCAGTCTGAGGCGAGGTGTGGGTGAAATACCTCGGTTAGAATGGCCCTCTCTACCATTCCTCTGGGTTTATCTGGTACCGAGGCGGTTCCAAAGATCTTGATATCCGCCTTCTCCTGGTCATCCTGTAGCCTCGGTAAGTTTTAGAGCTGACTTCTCTTGTCTCCTTCTTATCTCTGGTAATAAGAAAAGGAATGAAAAACACTCGAACTGAAAGGTTAATTTCCATGCCTCTTATCCATTTCTGACTCGTAGCTGTAATGAAACTGTTATTGAGTGTTGGAGGTGAGATTCCCACCCCCAACACACCACCCCCCCCCCCCCCCCCCCCGCCGCGGCTCGGGTCGCATGCCGCCGTAGGTGTTACTGTTTCTGGGATATAAATAGGGTGATTATGAGTTAGAATGTAGCGTGAGGTTGAGATAATTCCCACGATTCTCTTTGGTTCTACAGTTGATTCTGTTTGTGGTTTCTGATCCTACTCTTAAGCACGGTCAAGTTTTCCTTTAAAAGCGAAGCTTCTCAATTTGTCAGCTCATATTCAGACTTATTTGAATCCTCAGTATCTTCTTCCTCTTTTAGACAGAGGTCAATAGAAAATAGTATGTTGGAGTCTAACTAAAATAACAAGACAAAACAAAAGAAAATTTGAATGTGTGAGGCACAGCAAATTCTAGTATATGGTGTCTGTAATACATTTAAAATGGATTCTTACAATAAGCTTAACATTTTTTTTAAGCTTCATCGCTATTGTAAAAATAAATATTTTCTCATGGAATATTTTCACCTTAAAATGTTCTGCTTCACATGAAAGAAAGTTGTATGTTCTGAATATAAAATGTAGCGTCATAGAAACAAATAGTGTATGAGTGAAAACCAGAGAATAAAAGCTTGGGTTTAGAAGAAACAGGCAAAATTGGGTCCTTTTGGGGGAGGGTTGGGCTTTTCGTTTTGTTTCAGTTTTGTTACTTTTGTTTTTAAAACAAGATTGTGCATTAAAACATTCAGTAATTACATTTACTGTTAACTGCTGTTACAGCTGCTGTTCAACTGACTGTTGCTCCTTCAACTCTGTTACTACTACCGGTTTGTTTTTTTTAACTAATACCAGTGGATTTCATGGATTCACTGCTGACATGTGAAGATAGAGGCTGTGGGACATGAGAAGTGATAGACAAAATAAGCCCAGCATTCAGCCTCGCTTTAAGTACCTCTCCTGATTACAGTGTGTTATTGCCGGTCTGATTTTATTTGGAATATGACTTGCATGCATTTTGGGCTCGTCTGTGGCTTTGTGTTTCTTTTAACTGTTCCTTTGAGGCCCTTGTTCATCCTGGCTTTGGATTTATTAAGTTGGAAGTTTTGCATTGCCTAGTTACCATTTTTTTTTCCATTCTATCACTGATGTATACCCTAACATATAGCTGAGACAAAATGCAGATTAGGAAGAAGAAGCAAATCTATTTTACAATGGAACCCTATATTTTGTTCATGATGGGTTTTTTAAATTAATAATGGACAAGAAATCACAATCACAAAACCTTCATTATTAATGCCTGTGGTAGAGTTTCCTAGAAAAGGGGTGTGTGTGTTTTTATTTTTCAAGAATTCTGAGAAAGAAAAAGTGTCTTGATTACAATTGCCTGCAAAATTAAACCATTTGTAGCATGTTAAAAGGTATTGGACACTAGAGCCTGACACTACAGGCTGCTTCAACTCCTGCATTTAAACGAGTCTCTCTTGAAAACGTGATCTTAAAGGACTGGACTACAGGATCTTCTGCATTTCATGTTCAAGCTTTTTCAGTATTAGAAATATCTTAAGTATTCTTCTGGCTTGTTTTAATAATTAAAAAAAATGGAGGGGAGGGGGAGGGGAGGAATAGAATCTTTTATGCCACGGATATCTGACCTGAATGCTGGGGCAGCCTGCCTATGTAGTTTTTTCATTTGTTTTTCCCCCTTTTGCCCCTGAGTAAATCTGTTGATGTTTCTAGATGTAGTGTATTAGGAAAGAGGCAATTGTAAAAGTATTTAACTGCTACTGATTTAAATCTGCTATGGAATGTGTTTCCACTCACTGTGATTTTTGTATGCTGCGTTTAGTTGAGTGAAGGTACATAAAATTATTTTGTGCATCATATAAATCAGAGGTATATTTCAGATGGATCCTGTTACTTTAATAATACTTAATTGGTGACTTTTTAAATTTACAGTTATGAATATACTGATTTTTGAAAAGTGAAACTAAATTACCTTGCCTTCAATCTCTTGAAGGATATATAGTCTTTTGTGCGCTGTATGTCTAATAACAGAATGCCCTGCCTCACTGAAACAGCCCAAAGTCATTAAAAGCTAATGTAACCGGGATTGGGTTGGGTGACTTTTGTTTTAATTGAAGGGTTAAGTAAAAGAGAGAACTGAACAATTTACTTGCACAAAACCCCAGCGAAATACATGTTCTCTCCAGTATTTTGGGGAAACGATTGTTCAGAACAGTCAGTCAGGGGTTCTCTGTTTATTTTGTGTGAGTCCAAAGAACTAAATAAATCTAAATCAAAGGTAGTATTCCTCTGGTTTTGCTTTGTGCACTCAGTTTGTAGTTCTAACGCTTTGCCAATTGCCCTATAGACTATATGAGCATCTTAACATTGCTGGGTTTTTTCATCACGTTCTCTGGAGGCTAGTAAGGCACAGGAAAAGGTAAACTGTGCTACTTGCTTTTTGCTGCTACATGTGTCAGAGGGGGTGGCATTCTATGTGAATAAACTTTTTCTAAAACCTTTTAGACAGACGTCTAGAAGGAGCATACACATGTGTGTGCCCGCACACACATAAGCAACCAGTGTGTGGAAATGCTACATTGCTCTTTTTGAATCTTATGGAAGAACTAGTAAAGGTTCAACAATTATTTTCTTGTATTAATAATGACAACTTTAAAATTATTTTCTATTCTTGGCAGCTTACATCTTAAGGAAATTATTTCAAACAAAAATTTGCAATGTTTTTTGCCAGTGATTTGGATAGGCTTTTCAGGCATCTTTCCCTGTAATAGTTTCTCTTTCCCCATAAAGGCTAGGCTAGAGAGGGTAGGTGGAAATGGGCAATTATGACTTGGTTTGCAGTTCTTTTTGTGCTTAGTCCATCTTTGCTGCCGCAAACTAAAGCAGACGTAGCAGCATCTTTTGTTATAGTACCCTCCTGGTCTCATCTTCCATGGTAGCCTTTTTGATGTTCAGAGTAGAGATTTCTGGCTCAATGGGCCAGAATATCAGTCAGCACATTGCTTAATATTCTTAGGTAGTAATTGAAAGAATCACCTCATAATCAGTATTTCAAGTATTTATCTAGTCATAGATTCAAAGATGGCACTAATGGCAACAAAAGGAAGCCTACTTTATCTGCAAACTGTTCACTTGATTAAGATAGAACAAAGCAAACATCTCCTGTTTACCTAGGATGTACATTTGATCCCCTCCTTAAAATTAGGAAGGCAGTTTGTCTAATCAGTGCACAGAAAACTGAAAAATAACCCATCTTCCCTGGCTGAAGTAGCTTTCAAAGATTTTTGTATTACAACTGTAGGTTTTCTATTCAACCCCCTAATCTTTGGTGATGTATGTTCAAGGCTGATGAATAAGTCTGGTAGAGGTGATGTATAGAACTAGTGCTAGCAAACTTGGCAGATTTGTATTGGCTGTGTGAGAGACAATAAGCAGGTGACATGGATGATGAGTGGGATTCAGGAACGATGGAAAATTGCTGAGTGCAAATTCGACTAAGTTGAAGGACAACTATTACTCGATCATTTAATAGGAACAGAATAGCTTGCGTTGTCATCCACTGTAATTTCTGTTCAAATATACAGCTACAAGGTACCTTTATCACCTGCTTTGTTTTCTCTTACCCATCTGTCTCTCTGTAGCTGAACCTCAAGTGACCTCTATCAAGATTAATACACAGTATAATAATATTTTAGATTGGCCAAGCAATGCTTTTGGTAGATGAGCAAATTTTTTTTATTCCCCCTCATCTTCGGTCTGCTTTATAGCAATGAAACTTTTGCTTTAAACTAAAGTCTGTCTAGGTAGAAGCGGAAGGTTGTTTGAGCAGTATATTTGAGACAACTTTTTAAAAAGCTCTTTAAAAGCACTGGAAATTTCCAGGCTTCACAAAAGAAAAGGAAAAAAAAAATCAAAAAAACAACTAAAAAAGCCCAAAAAAACCAAAAAAATCCCCACCCAAAACAAAAAAGCTTTTAGGGTCTGGTTTAGCATCTGCTTTGCAAGTTGCAAGAAGAGAAATATGAAACGGAACTGCAGACATTCTGGATGTCAGCCTGAGAAATTTTCCACTGTTTCCTTTAATAACATGTAGGCATGCCTTTATTGCTGGAATTCCAGTTAGGAATCTTTTTCTGACTGGAACTTCAAGCTATTTGGTGAGCAAGTGCTTGCTAAAAATCAGTTGTCAATAAATGAATTCTCATATGCGAGACTGTGCATAAATGACTCTCATGCTAAGTATCAACTACTGCTTGTATTAATTTAATTTCTTGTTTTACTGTGTTTACTTGTTTTACTATTTCTACATGATCACTGCTAGGTGACAATTCATCTTTTCTTGTTTCCAATGGTAATTCTGGACCAACCTTTCCAGAAAGGAGTGTATGCTGCTAAGCTAAAAATCTTAATTATCCTATCTTTAATATACAAAGGAAGAAAAACATTAGGAAACACATCTTTCATAAAAGAGTTAAACTTAAAGACTATTTAATGGTTATTTTTAAGATTATTGTAGTTTGAGGTACAATGGTGAAAATCAGACTCAAGGGATCTACAGGTTCAACCTCATTTGTCTACCTTAAAGCTCTTTTCTGTGTAAGTTGCTCTTATTTACTGAAAGCTACCTGACCTTTCTCCCAAGGTGTAGAGGACTCTGTACTTGGAATGTGTCTTGTCTTTCTGTCACTACAGATATTTATTGTTGGCTTATGCTGTTTTGAGTTAGGGCCTAAAGAATCCTTCATATATTGGGTTGAGGTTTTTGTTTCCTTAAATACTGAGGTGGGAGTAAGCAACATCACAACAAGCTCTTGTCTTACTAGTATTAATTGAAAATACAAAACCAGAACCCTTTAAATGCACATTAATTTTGTCTTTTTAAGACAGCATAGTACATTTCCACAGCTCTTGAGCCAAGTCAGGGCCATTGTGCTTTCTTTTTTGTTACTTTTCTTTGTTGAGCTACTTTTTTTTCTTTTTTAATAATTATATAAAAATTCAATATATGCCTTCCTGACTGCTCATAATCCTTTCTCACATATTTACTGCTAATGAGAATGCTGATGACTAAAGTTAAAAGTGGAGCATGTTGAACTTGACATGAACCTTAATATCTTTTCCAGCTTATGTAAGGATTGTATTGTGAATTGTGTATTTTTTAATTGGTTGCTTGCTGATTAAAAGTACTGAAATTACTGCCATTGCTTTGTATATCTTTTGGATAGCTTATATAAGTTTACTTTACAAATTTGATAGAAAGTTAAAGCTTGAGATGGATTTCTAATCCATCCAAGCTTTTCTAAGTCTTAGTGAGACTTTTTCTCAAATGTAGATTTAGTAAGTACAGGTTGTAATTCCAGTCAGAGTGGTCACCAAAGAAGTAGCCACGGTGACTTAAGAGAACTTTCTTTTCAGGGTGACTGACTGAATATATCCCTCTCTTTTGGTTTAGGAGACTTGTTCTTACTCCAGTGATAGTTTGGCCTTTATTCCTAGTGTTTTACCTAGAGAAGAAGTGGTTGTGCTGTAGCCAATAGATCTTTGTTCAATTTTCCTCTACTCAGTAAAATAAAAAAAAGTAAATCTGAATTAATTCTTCTGTGACAGAAGACAGACCAGTGCTAAGTAGTGTACCAAAAGAGTGATGCCAGTGAAGAAAAAGGTTAAAAGATTGAAAATACTACATTATTATACAATCATACTATGCTTTCCTCTTGAATATGAGTATTTCTGGTATATGCAGTAAATGAGTAAAATGGACTTTTACTTGAGTAAAATGGACTATGTTTCTCTGTATTTTCAATAAGACGGAGTATTTCCAGCTTTTCTCTCCCTTTTTTTTTTTGTGTTGGCCTTACAGTACAAGGCTGATCTACCCAAAACCACAAGTGTAATGGGAAATCAACAGGAGGAAAGTGTTTTTTCTTCACTCATTTCAGTTATTCTCCTTATTATTAGATGGCAGGGTTAAAAATAAAAAAAGGCTACTTTCAGATAGTGTAGCTGTCTATAACTACAGAACTGACTGACACAGAATATCCAGCAGCTAGAAGACTCAGTTGTTCTAAACCAGGAGATTCCTGAACAGTAGATTGTTGAGTTTTGAGAGCATGCTAAAACACGTTCATATGCTTTTTCTTTCTAGGTATTCCTACTGACTTCTGCTGTAGCGAATACTGTGCTCGGTAAGTTTTGTGTCACAACCACTTTGTTTTCTCTGCATCAATTCTCATAAACTATTGATATTTAGGGAGTTAGGAAAAGGAGAAAATAATGTCTATTCCCTTAGAAAATTAAAGGTGTTTTTTTTAATGTTCCATACTAATATGGTATATAGTTTGCTGTCTTCCACCTCACTTGAGGAAATGCGTGATATGACCTGGCCTTGGTATGTTTCATGGTATCTAAGACTGTTAGGCTTTTGGGGAATACCTGGACCATTAAAGGATGCTCCTCCTAAGATGTGGGATACACTGTATCCTTGTGCGTATATATCTGCCTTTGTTTTTTAATTCTCTCTATCACTAGTACTAGAGTTTTCTTCTTCCTGAAGTAACCGGTAACTTTGTTCTAAGCAAAGTATTCATGTTATTTTGAAAGACTGATGATGAAACAGGATTTCTTAGCTAAATCTGTTCTGGGCTCAGTGCAGACATAATGCAAATCACTGATTGCTATTGTTTGTTTGAGGTTTGGTCATAGCTTCTGGGGCAAGCAATTTAGCCTTCAATATTCTATTAGACTGATGTGTAAGCTTCCATACCCGTTGCTGGAGAGTAGCAAAACTGAAAGCTTGTCTGGACATTCTATTCTGTGGGATTTTGGTCTCAAGAAAGGAAGAGCCTTCTTTGGAATAATCTCTCGTTGCAAGTTCAACCTCTATGTTCTGCACTTTAGCAGGTGCCCTGAAATAGGTGAGCTGGCTTGGTTAGAGTAAGGTGGGGTTAAAGCAAAATGAAAAAAACGAAAGGAGACCGTTGAAGGCAAACCTTTGGAGAATGATCCCTTCAAAGGACGGAAGAATTTGTGGGTTTTTTCAGATAGCTGTGCTCATCAAAACATCATAGGTCCTAAGCCATGTTTTGCAGATGGATGACACACTGGGGTAAATAGTATGAGGTGGAGATAAGTATGAGTCAAGTAAGGAAGATAAATAACTTTTGGTCCTGACTGGATGCGGGCACTTGTCTGACCATATTCTGTCATAAACCTACTTTTGATGAAAAAAAGATCACATATCTTAAAGAGGATTAATGATATCAGGCTTAAGTTTTGTATGCTCTTCCCTTGTGTTCCCTCCATGGTGTGCTGTGATTATCCTGTTAGTGTTTGTACATTGTTACTTATAGGCCTCGTCTATATGAGAATCTAACAAGTTTTCGTACTGGTGAAAGCTCAGGAGTGAGGCTTTGTAGCTTTTTGAACTTTCAATGGACTGTTAGGTACATTAAAAAATATTTACTGGACCTTCAAAAGAGAAGCTATTCTATGCCCAGAGACAATTATTAGTAACCTTTGTCCTAGTAATTTTGACACTGCCCAAGAATATGAACTTCTGACTGCAGCGAACCTAAACCTAACTTCCCACGCTGTGTGGGATGTACTGTAGAGGAGGGTCATTCGCTGGACGAATGTAGTGTGGCATTTACTGATCGGAAAACGCATTGCATCCATCACGCTTCGTAGCCGATCTTCTGCAACTGCATGACATAAATGCATGACCATGCGCTCCTCAGTTAGTTACTATGTTTTATTTGCTTATCAGATGCTAATATGACCACTTTTCAGTGCAGACATGGCTGAATACTAACTTTAAAGATCAAACAGTGACTCTCCAGCTCAGTTTTGTTGAATGTTAGATACAGTTCAGTCGGTCGCCTTGTATGGGAACTAAAAAAAAATGCAAGGAAATGTAAGGAAAAAATAGTAATAAAAGAAATTTACAGCTCTGTCCTGGCATTTCCACCAGTGCACTATAGAAGAGTACATAAAGTTTGCTTCCTGATGATGTGAAACTGTACAACTGTTTAGCCATTTATCAGTAAACAAGGAAGGAACTGGATCTGAAACCATTATAAATGCTTTTGGTACTTGAAGAGGAAGGATATCATCCCATCTGGTTTTGGTAGTTGTAGACATCTTGTACTAACTTCCAGGATGGTTGCTAATCTTCATAAAATTGCTTCAAATTTTCGAATTTCTGTGCTATTGTTGATAGCGTCATTTGGAGAGTTCTGTGGATAAACATTTCTGTTTGAGAAGTGCCATTTGTGTAAAAACTTTCATGAGTAAGACTGATTTTCTGCCTGCCTGAGGAGTCCTTGGGAGCTTTATGTGAGATATGTTGAAAAATGACTTTTTAGTGGAAGTAAAGATACTGCTTCTTTAATAGAATGTTAGAAAAACTAGAAGCATAAGGGTTTTATGCAATGGAAATTCCTTGTAAAGAATAGAAAAGTTTGGACCAAAAAAGAAAAATCCAGAGGGCAGTGAGAGGCTTGCTTAAAAGCATGACATTTTTTCTCATAAATGGGCGGGAAAAATGGTAGGAGTTAATGTTGTGGTCAGGATTTACATACCCTGTGTCCAGTAAAGATGGGACTATTGATGTGTGTATGCAAAACCTAAAGCATGCACGATATTAATAAAACATACCTCTTAAATCAGAACCAAAAAGAATGTGGTAATATATCTTAAAATTAAATAAAGTAGGATCAATTGTAATGTTACTTTTATATCCTCGTGGCCCATTGTTATAATGGTTTATCTCAGTATGTTACGTACTACATCCCAGTTTTATCTCTGGGCTGTAGTATGTAATTCCCTGATGACAGTGTTTTACTGAAACTCATCGCATAATTATGCTAGCATCAATCCAAATACCATGAGCAAAGTCAGTGTTGGTCTGTCAAGGTTTTGTTCAGTCAAGCATAAAAAAATCTCTCAGGACAGCGATTCTGTAGGCTATCTGAAAGTGGTTCCGGTGTTCAATCACTATTTATAAACAGAAACTTAACTTGTTGCAGGTAGTAAAGCTTGCCAATTGCCCTTTTCCTGTAGGCCTTGTAGGACACTCTGTGACTCTCCAATTTCTAATACCTCTCTGGGTGGTACTACTCTGCTTTATGTAGTATTAAGCAAAGATACCAACCTCTGAGCTTTTTCCTGTTTATTACTCCATCTTGCTTAATTTTTAAATAATTGAGCCCGTAAATCTAAGATTTTATTTGACCAGAGGAATGCACAATATCACTTCGGCTTTGTTTGGAGCAGTAAATTGTAGCAGATGCTCTGTGATAACCTGACTGTATTGCGGAAAGATTAATTAAACTGATTTGGGGGGATTCTCTTCTGTCGTTATTTTGCAATTTCACTGCAGGTACTGTATCTACTAAGCTCTGTTCACTGTGAAGGAAATATGGTACAGAATATGATAAAGAAATAGAGGAAAGGGGATCCTAATTAATGGAATGCTCAGATCTGTTGGTATAACAGGGGTAGACACTGATTTTGCTTCAAATATTGAATGGTAGGCATTTTTGTTGAACTAAATACCTCCTGCAGCCAAATGAAGTGTACCTGCATATACTCAGACTTAATCAGATTGTAATTACAGCATCAAGATTGAAACATTTCCATATTTCAAGGACAAACTGGTGCCAGTTTAGAACTAGAGCCTTTGTGTTAACTAGCTATACTTATTCCTTTCAAATAAATTAATAATAAATAAGCACTGATACTATGCATGGAAAATGTGAAATTTTTATTTCCTTTCTTCAGTAGCTTATTTTGGTTTTAGTAGTTTCTGATCTTGTACTCTCAAATCTGAGAGTCAAGTTTTGTCAAAGACTCATTAACTTCATTTACAGGCCTTTAATTATTATTAGATCAGCAAATACCAAAATCTAATCTTAAAGACAAAGAGGATGTGTGTTTTTCAATAAATTTTTAAAAGAATCTATTTTAGCAGCATGACAGAAAAAGATACTAAGTAGGAGTCTCAAAAGCATTCTTAAGACACCAGGCATTTAACTGCCCTTAAAGCCAGTTTGTGTGGATCTGAGTAGATTCATGCAGTATGAGACCCTATAATGGAGAGATGCCTTCCCCCCTATCTTCCGCCCACAGCAATCAAACACTTTTTCAGAATATGAATCTACATTTTTTTAAATGTCATGTTTCTGCTGTAAAATAATATATTTGCTGACATTATTTCTATAACTTACTTCTCGTGCAAACACATGAATAAATGTTCATAAGTACTGCATCTGCTGACTAGCAAAATGTGCCAACGGCAAGGCGATGTGATTTATGGAGTACATTTCTTTCATGCTCATGGGCCCACCCTTATTGATGGGTGTGAATATATTCGTTGTGATCTGTCATAATCAAGACAGTATGTATCACTGTTGTTTACTCTCCGCTGGAAAATGCCCGTGTGTTCTGATTTGAATGTCACTGGAGCTCTCTAAGTACCCATTCTGGGCAAAGGCCAAGTTAACATACAGGTCCTTGACAGACTTCCAATCTTGATTTATGACATGATTATCTATTACTATGTGGTAAATTGGAAGTGATTGCTGTGTTACTGCTCATGAGACTTTGTGTGGGATTGGACCCATCAGGTCCACAGAAAAGACTACTAATAGCCTTATTTGTCTGTTGCATCAACTGTGCAGTGCACTGTTTCAGGAATCTGCTTAAATTAAGAATATGCAACAAGGATTAAAGAAATCTCGAGAGGTGGAGCTGACAATACTATTTGAAGTTTTTTGAATGACCTCACATCCTTAGTATTTTCAGTGTAAGTTTCTGTATGTCTTTAAAAAGCTTATGGAAAAAATAGTATAATGTGCCGTAAGGAAATTTCTACTCTGTTTGCCAGCAAGGTAGTTATCAAGCAGGGCGCTGCCTTGGCTGCTAAACTGAGTGTGCCTTCTACACGGATTACTTGCTGGAGGGGCAGGAAAGTGGGTTTCTAGCACTGTTGGATGACATCTCCAGCTACTGTTCTAAATGAAATCTTGAATTAGGAGGGAGGTAAGGGTGGCCTTTGTTAAGCCCTTGATCCTGCTGCTGCCTCATGCTTTGTGGATGCTGTGTATGGGTGAGGCAGTATAACCTAGAAAAATGTCCCTGTTCACTAGCTGCTGTGCTGCCAGACACTTGAACTGCTTTGTAGCTG